CCCCGGTTTTTTGGCTGTGCCCCATGGCATGTGGGATCTTAGTTCCCTGACCAGGGATTGAACGTGCGCCCCCTGCATTGGGAACGTGGAGTCTTATTCACTGTACCACCAGAGAATTCCCAAGCTTTTTAAAAATTTTTTTTTATTTTTATTATTTATTTTTGGCCGCATTGGGTCTTTGTTGCTGTGCGCGGGCTTTCTCTAGTCACGGCGAACAAGGGCTACTCTTCTTTGTGGTGTTCAGGCTTCTCTCTCACTATGGTGGCTTCTTTTGTTGAGGAGCATGGGCTCTAGGCACGAGGGCTTCAGTAGTTGTGGCTCGCGGGCTTAGTTGCTCCGCGGGATGTGGGATCTTCCCGGACCAGGGCTTGAACCCGTGTCCCCTGCATTGGCAGGCAGATTCTTAACCACTGCGCCACCAGGGAAGCCCCCGCTTTGTTTGTTTTATCAAAGTAAAAAGTGAATGGTCATAAACCCTCCCCCAGCCTATCCTATTCCCCAGAAATAACAATTTTCTATATCTTAATATATATAAGAGGTGGCACAGAGGATGAGGGCATTGCTTCCAGCATGGGTCAACCTGGGCTCTGCCTTGTGCTGCAGTGTGGGCTTCAGCAAGTTTCCTCACCTCCCTCTGCTTCTGTTTCCTCAACCAAGAGTCAGAGATATTAATATGTGCTTCATAGAGCTACTTTGAGAATTACATGAGTTACTATTTGTCAAGCACTTAAAACAGTGCCTGGGCATGTTGTAAATATTTATTAAATAAACATATGTCCAGACTCTTCTGAGTAGACAGAAGCATTTACACACATTTGTTTCTTTTGTTTTTTGTTTTCACAGAAACAGGATCTTATTCTACATATTATTCTGAAACTTAAGTTTTTTTACTTCGTACTGTGGCTTGGACATCTTACCCCATCAGTGTTTAAAGAGCTGCTCCTATTTTTATTGATTGTGTAACGTTTCATTATGTGGATACACCATAACAGGTTTCACAAGTCCTCCATCGACAGACATGCAGTTGGTGTCTAGTTTTTGCCAGTACAGACAGTGCTGCCAGGAACCTCGTGACCTTGTCCTTGCCCTTGTGTATTCCTGGAAGTAAAATCACTGTGGCAAAGGGTGTGCACAGTTGACTGTTTTGGATACACACTTCCAGTTTACCCTCCAGAGTTGGCTTTCTAGTTTGTGTTCCTACTGGGAGCGTAAGGTGCCACCTGTGAAGTCCTGTGCTGACAACCCTTTACCACTCAAAAAACCTTTGATGGTACCTTCTAGGGCTCACATGTTGAAGTCCTTAGTTTGGCCTTCAAAGCCCCCTGTAATGTGACCCCATCTTTGCATCCTAACTACTGTTACTCTTAAAAACTCTTTGCTTCAGTCAGGTCAGCGGTTTTTAACCAGGGTAATTATGCCCACAGGGGACGTGTGACAATGTCAAGATATTGTGGTTGCCACAACGGGAGAGTGCTACCAGCATCCAGAGGGTAGAGGCCAGGCGTGTTGCTCCACATCCTACAGTCGACAGCCTCCCACAACAAAGAGTTAAATGGTCCAGACGTCAATAGTGCTGTGGTGCAGAAACCCCAGTTGAGCTGTTGACTGATCTTTAAAATTGCCTGGTATTTACCTGCCTCAAGTGCAGGGATGGACAACAGATTTCATCTAGTGTGACACCTTCATTATATCCATATATGGGTAAAGAGCTCTCTTGAGAATTCTGAAGCCATGCCTGGGCCCACTGGGGGAAAATGTTATGTCTGCCATTTGCTAAATCGTAAAGTCATGAGGGCAGGATGGTATCTCCTCCTTTTTTTGTATTTTCCAAGATATCTCATGCATAGGTTTGTATACATAGTTGTTGGACAAATATCTTAATGTTTCCTGAGTTACTGTCATCCTAAGAGGGATAGAGGTTCTCTGAAGGAACCAGCTCCTCTTCTAATCAGCCCTCTCACTTGCCATTTGTCTTTAAGCGAAACATTTACATATTCTGGTATTTATTTCATGTCTTAAAGAGTTTTGATACCCTAATAGGAGGTGATGGGTTGATATTTACTGCATTGTCTTGAAAATGATTGATGAATGAATGTAATTGTATATAGAGCTTTTCCATTTGAGATGACTGAATAATCAAGAAGGCAGGGATGGTCATCAGGCATTGACTGCATAGCACCCTGTCAGTGGTACTTACATTTGTCCTTATGGGAGGGAAATCATTTAAGTGAATTTTCAAATCTGGGTGAACCTTTTCTTCAGTGTTTGGGAGTACAGGTAGCTTGTCAGGGGTTGGCCAACCTTTTCTGTAAAGGGCCAGATTGTAAATATTTTAGGCTTTGCAGGTCATATGGTCTCTGTCACTGTTTCAGCCCTGCTCTTGTAGCTTGAAAACAGCCATAGGCAAGACTTAAATGAATGGGCATGGCAAGAGTTTATGTACACAAACAGATGGTGGCCATAGTTTACTTATCTCTCCCAAACCATCAGTGTTTGGATATTTGACTGATGAACCCCCACTGCAACTGAATGGTTTTGAAAATGAAATAACTGGGCATGGTGACTACCCCTTTGTAATGATTGCACTGGGAAAGGCAGTGATGTACGACCTTTCTTTGCTTTCCCTTGTAGAGATGTGGTATGGTGTGTTCCTGTGGGCACTGGTGTCCTCTCTCTTCTTTCATGTCCCTGCTGGATTACTGGCCCTCTTTACCCTCAGACATCACAAATATGGTAGGTTCATGTCTGTAAGCATCCTGTTGATGGGCATCGTGGGACCAATTACTGCTGGAATCTTGACAAGTATGTTAGACATTAAAATACAGTCAAAATGTTTCATTTGACTAGTTAGTTAATTTTAGGAACCATTTTAGAAACATGTCTCAATGAGATGAAGAAGAAAGAGTGATTTTTAACCACAGATCCTGTTGTTTTTCTCACCCCAGTCCCCCCTTATTTGGCTAACATCTTTGACTTACTGAGTCAGATTTTGTCTCGCTGGCTTCAGGGAAGCCATGTTAAGCTTTGTGAGATAGATCTTGTGAAATAGGTCACTAGCAAAAGAAGATATTTGTCTTTTTGGAAGCTACTGCTCCTTTCTCTTCAGCTGTCACTTCACTGATTTGTGAACTTGCAAGCTGGTTAACAAATTACTTCCACTCATCCAGGTGTAGTTATTTTAAGGATGGAAGAATAATTCTAATGACAAGAATTATTTAGAAAAGTACCTGGTTGTTTTTCCCTCTCAGGACTTTCTGAATAAGAATTGGAGTAACATTCATAATTATAAATTATTTTTACCTGTCTGGTGTTTCTTTGGGGGGAGTTGTGGCTTTTGCTCATGTCAAAAGGATGAGAATAAGTTTAAATCATTTTTAAGCTCATAATGAATATAAAATGTATATTCTATATAAATTAAAAATTATAAGAAAGCAAAAATAAAAATCCTCCATTACTGCATTCCTGAGTGGTATCACAGTTTGCATTTTGGTATGTGCTTTCAGACTTTTTTCTAGGTGTACATGTAAACATAAATTTTTTTCACTGTGAATTTAAACCTTGAGCTTCAAGCAGAAATCTCCCTCTCTCTTTGACTTGAGGGATTTTTTTGGGGACAGGGTGGCCTAGTTTCTCTGTGTTCCACAGATGATGAAACCTTTGTGATAACATGGGGGAGGAAGCCAGTTTTCTCCTGTTTGCATTAAGGAGTTTCCATAACGGGCCTTAAAAAATATTTTTAACTGAATCACCTACTGCTATCTTTAGAGACCCTCTGCTCCAGTTTCCTTGCTGGATTACTGGCCCCCAGGACCTGTTTCAGATTTCTCATCAGTAAAATAGGGATGCTGTGTGATGACTAAATGAAAAAATGTGAATATAAAATACTTAACCAGAATATCTACCATATAGTAATTGTGCAGTAAATGTCGCGTTCATGTCCTTCTTCGACTCTAGTGCATACAATCTGTTCCCTTCCCATTTTGCTGCTCCTTCTGGTTTGCTTTTTCCTGTCTTCCCTTAATCATCCAAATCCCACTTTGGGACCCAGTTCAACTTCTTTAAGCTTCTTCTGACTCAACCCACTTTTTTTGGAGACAAATTACAAAGGGGCCCAATGGAACATGTGCCTTTCAGATGTTAGTAGCACAGTGTTTGTGCATTGCCTCTGGCGGTGGGCATTTCAAAGTCACAAATGTTCCTGGCAACCAACACAGATATTGATTAGTATTGTTCTTTCTTCTCCTTAAAATATGTCAATATACCATCACATCACATTTGCAAAAGGTGTAGACACTTTTTTTTTTTTTTTTTTCCTTGCGTTATGCGGGCCTCTCACTGTTGTGGCCTCTCCCATTTGCGGAGCACAGGCTCCGGACGCGCAGGCTCAGCGGCCATGGCTCACGGGCCCAGCCGCTCCGCGGCATGTGGGATCTTCCCGAAACGGGGCACGAACCCGCGTCTCCTGCATCGGCAGGCGGACTCTCAAGCACTGCGCCACCAGGGAAGCCCAAAAGGTGTAGACACTTGATTGACACACTGTATTTCATCTTGCATTATTCAAAATCTACTTTGTGTTTGTGTTTCTGTCTTGTGTCTCCAGCTAGCTTCTGTGACCAAGGAGAATTCTGTTTGGAGCATTTTGAGGTGGGGCGGGGGGGCGGCAGGGCGGTCATCTGAGATGTTTGGATCTGTTATTTTCAAACTATTGAAATCTTGACTTTCTTTGTACAATGCTGAGTCCCTGTGAGCAATTCAGGATACCTGGGTAGAGAGAGATGTTTGTTTTATTTACTCAACTTCTAGGAAGTTACAGTGACTAACATAATAAAAACATTAATGATTTGGGTAACAGAAAGGACTCCCCAAGTATCCCTCACCTCTTGCCCTTTGAATGAATAGCAACTTGATAGGCTTAGGGTCCCCCTCTTTTCCTTTTACCACCCCTTTCTCCATCCATTTCTTGTGAGGAGCTCTGAGTATAGTATAGTACAAAGTAGAGTGGGGTTTCCCTGTGGCTGCTTCTGAAATATTTCTTGCTCAGTCCCACAGGGAAGATTCTTTGTCATTTATTGCCAAGAGTTTGTTAGGTACCTGCCAAATGCATGCGGAATAAGAGATGTTTTTGAGTTTGTAATCAAGTTATGTGGAAATCGCCGTCTTTGTGATTTCAGCTATGACTTCCAGGTGATTCTATTCAATAAATCTAGGAGACTCTCAGTTTAAAGGATTCACTTTTCAACACCTAAAAACACTTGTCAGTGATTTGCAAACCATATAAGGAATACTTAAAATCTAGAGTAGTCAGCAAAAAGAATAGACAAAACAAAACATTTCTGTAATGTCTAAATTTTAATGTAAAAAATTTAGAACATTCTACTGGTAGAATTTTAAGTGCTGTATTTTCCTGATTATATTAACCTTTTTAAAAAAAATATTCTTGAATTTTTGAACAGGTGCAGCAATTGCTGGAGTGTACCGAGCAGCAGGAAAGGAAATGATTCCATTTGAAGCCCTCACCTTGGGCACTGGACAGACATTTTGTGTAGTCGTGGTCTCCTTTTTACGGATTTTAGCTACTCTATAGCACATACCCTTGTGCTATGATGGTGAACCTAAGTTTCATAGAATCCTCAAAAAGAATACAGTGTGGAATGTGTTTTCTTAGTTCTTCAAACGGGAAGCAACTTGGATGAAAAGGTACATGAAGAACATTTCAGTCCTTTCTTCAATTTGAAGCTCCAGGAATTAAAGATCTTTTTGGACTCATTGTTCTCAACCAAAACAAACCAAGTTTCTTTTCTTTCTTTCTTTTTCTTACATATTTAATTCAGGCAGTTTTATGGGTGTACCTTTACGCAAGCCAGGTCAGCAGTGCTTCTGGGTTGGCATCCTTCACACTGAAATTTATAATGTTCTGTGAGAAAATGCAATGTTGCATATTTCAGAGAAATTATGGATCATATTAGTTTATTTCTGAGCAGAGTATACTGTACTAAAATCTTAACTTGATCTAATCTTGATGAAAATTTGGCAAACTCATCTCTTGCTACATCTTCATGACAGTAAGTGCCAAGTAGCTTTTGGCTGAATGTAGTGTTGAGAACAAATTTGGTGAAATTTCTTGCACACAAAAAAATCTATAACTCAAGTAGTGGCTTCGATTCCACTGTTTAAAGAAAAAGGAGCTAACTACTGAATGATGTGACATTTTTATGGATAACTATCTTGACCTCTGATTATTTAATATATTTTAAGAGATGTGAATTTGGTTTTTTGTACATTTTATCAAAATAAGCTAGATAATTGAGACTTTTTCCCCTAAAGCTCCTGTACCACCTCTTCCTATCACTTTTTTTTTTGTTTTTTTTGTTTTTTTTTTTTTTGCGGTACGCGGGCCTCTCACTGTCGTGGCCTCTCCCGTTGCGGGGCTCAGCGGCCATGGCTCAAGGGCGTAGCCGCTCCGCGGCATGTGGGATCCTCCCGGACCAGGGCACGAACCCGTGTCCCCTGCATCGGTAGGCGGACTCCCAACCACTGCGCCACCAGGGAAGCCCCTTCCTATCACTTTTATTCTATTGCTTTTATTTAGTTTACTTGGAAACATACCCTATTAAAGAGTTGGGAGTTGAAAATTTTCACCCAGATTGTTTAGGACACTCTTTGAACATTGAGGCACACACACAAAAAGATACTTTAAACGTTCTGTTACTGTTTTTCTTAGTGACTTTGGTGTACTTATGGCTCTTGAAAAATTGTATAAGTGCAGCTTAAACTAGAGTTAGTGGTTATGGATTTCCTAGTCTTAATGTGCTTACCTAGTGGTGGGTCTTCAGCTCACTTTCACAGTATTGGGTATCACTCCCAGAAAGTGCCTAAAGTTTAATTTTCAGATATGCCTTCCACTGTGCCCTTTACATTTTCCTTCAAGAGAATTTACATCCTTAAAGAGAATTAAATATCAGAGTTTTTTAAAACCCAATTTTAGCTATTTAAATTTTTCTTCTAATGCCTAACTTACTTTTTCATTTAAAGGCCTGAAAACTGTAACCTTCAAAAGAAAAAGGATTGCAAAAATTATCTAACTTTATCCTTACCACCTAAACTGTTCTGTATGAAATACAGTCGATGTTATCTGTTTTCAAAATAGTTTCTGGTAATTAAATCTGACATTTTTAAAGGAAAGCTTTCATTGTGAGTGTAAGGCTAACTGCCCATGAGGTCGTGTGCAATTCTATTTGATTTAAAGCAATATGCACTCTGGCTTCTGATTAAAAACAGCCAGGAGGACCAATTTACCAGGGATAGTCAAAGGGAAAAATTACAAAGGATCACAAAAAGTAACTGGACATTTTCTTTTAACTAATCGGCCATTAGACCACTTATCAAAATTATAGTGTTATATACACATAGACTAGGTGGAAAATTATAGGAGTTCGAATGTAGGCAAATGTCTTTACAAATTCCCCAACAAGATTACTCTCCAATGCTCAAATCTTTCTTTCAAGCAAATTTTTAAGTCTTTAGTTGAAGACTCCATTTTTCAGTTCATTGAGCTGGATTTGGAAAAGTAGCCCTTCAGTTTAAGAAATTTGTTGTAGGAAATTATTTTAATTATCTCTATTGAAGGATGCCTCTTAGCATTCTCACCTAAAACATTCCTTTGGATAGAATTTCACAAATTGAACATGGGCCAGTGGTCAGTGGGCTCCTCCCCCTAAATACTAATTTTTGAACATGCTGATCCATGATTTATTTGGTTTATGTTTCTTTTAGAGCCAAGACACAAAAATTAATGCATTTTGAAAGTTGTCTTTGTTTTCATCTGTTTCTTGTTTTATTATCCACTCTTTTTAAAAACTTCAAATATAAAATGTATTTCAAATTATTGAATGTTTCATTCATCCCAGTATGTGAACATTCTCCTGTGAATAAGTGTATATAGACTTTATATAGCTTGAGCTTTGTGGTTTGAAATGTTTTCAGGGAGAAACTGTTTGAATGATAAAGGAATGTCTATTCCCCCTTAGAGTTTATTTTTCTTTTTAATTTCTCATCTCAAATACACAATTAGTTGGGGGTGGTTGCCCAGATGAAAAAATATTGGCATTTGTGTTGAACATTTTATCTTTATCACGTAAAGCTTCTGAGAAGTTTTGCCAACTACTGACTTTCCTAGAGACATGTGCAACCACCCCTCCCTTAGCTGTGCATCCACTTTTCCTTTTTTTTATGAGTGGGAAGGAGGCAGCCCCAACCATAAAAAGCTGATTTCTGGATTCTTTAATATTGAGGTTTTAGGGTAAAGGCGTTTCATGTAAACTTAAATCCATATACAAATGAGTAATGAATATTCCAAGATAAAGATGTCTCTTTGTGCTGTTAACTCTTTTTTTTTTTCAGCAAAACATTACCTAGGAAATGTCTAAACTAGGTGAGAAAAAGTTCATGCAAATAATTATCTTTAAGCCCTTATGTTTTCTAAGTCTTTAAATTGTATGTTAGCTTTTGATTCCAAAAGCTGCTCTGGTTTGAATTAAGTTCTTATTACAACTGCAGTGCATACCAACCTTCCCTAGGAGACCATTTCCTGGAATGTGAAGTCCTGGTGCCATTAGCTGTCTACATGCAGAAGGTTCTGTGTATGTGCATTTCTTTTTTGTGTACTCTGTCAGGCTGGTTGTGGCTAAAATCAGCTCAGCTTTTTGTATTAGATTATTTCACCAAATGCTACAGTCAAAATGATCTAATCTTTGTACCATAGAAAATTATTTAAATTTTATTTTTCTACTGACATTTCTAATTCTGGTATATATGTTTATCAATAAAGAGTTACTTTTAATTCTGTGAACTAGAACTGTTACTTCTTTTTCAGTGGCCAATGAGTTTAATCTTTTGTAATAAGGTTTTCCAACTTAAGTTTTTTTTTAGTACTTAACATATATGCTTAACTGTATTTCTTTTATGTTCAACTCACTAGTTTATGGTAAAATTTTTGTCCAAAGATCTGATTAAACTGTACTTACATGTGAACTTGAGTCTTAATTAACTCCACTTTGTGAGCTATATATTACCATCAAGAAGCTTTTGTATGATTACACACTGGGATGGCTGAAAGCTGATATAGTTTGTGAAAAACATGTATTATTTCAGTAGTAAGTCCACATGAAGAGAGGCTCCGAGGGTGGTTTAGTATTCTGTGACATCATAAATCTTTTTCTGCTCTGCCATTTTCAGTAAATTGGTTTGTCTGATTTGGGGAGCTTACCCCCTGTTCACAAGATAACTGCTGCAGTTCCAGGCATTGCAGACAGACATACAATGTCTGGTAGGAAACTACCCATCCTCTCTAATTTTTTTTTTAATTGAGGTGTAACATACAGTAAAGTGCACAAATCTTAAATGTATAGCTTGATGAATTTTTATGTATTTATACACTTAATGCGAAGCGGTAGCACTTCGACCAAGATACAGAATGTTTCTAGCACCCATGAAGGATACATGCAGAGTTCAGCCAGAAGCCCCCAAGATACTTATCCAGGACCAAACAGAGGAGGATCTTTTCTAAAAAGGTGATAACCCAAGACAGTGGAAAGAGACTATGGTGGATGAGGGGCTAAAGATGCTGAGTTTGGCAGGAAGGACCCCATAAATTATTACCAAGACAACACGGTAATAGTGAACCAGGAAACTTGTAGGGAGTTGGGATTTGTACTGTGGCCAGCTGGAGAGATTTGTCTAAAGGCATTGCTCAGTTCCAGCCTATTTCTATTGATATTTTGTGGGATTATGTGCCCAGTGTTGTCAGATTCTCCAGTTTTTCAAAGGAAACTGGAAATTAGATTATTTGAAATCTCTTAATTTTTAAGTGCTGGTATATTGGGAGTTCCCCAAACCAAGAAACAATTCTTGGACACCAGCAGTGTGTCCAACAACTCAACTCAATTCTGACACTACCCAGAGATAGCACCAGATTCTACAGGTTAAGGGCTCAATCCTACAAGACCGACTCCCACTGCACTCCCTGATTCGAGATGCCAGTTGCAAGTCCAGGCTGTTACCTGTGCTTCTCACCGACTGGCTATAAATTGGGTTCAATTAATTTGTTAAAGTGGCTTACAGAACTCAAACATTTTACATACTAGATCACTGGTTTATCATGAGGATGTAACTCAAGAACAGCCGGATGGAAGAGATGCACAGGGCAAGGTATGAGGAAGGTGAGTGGAGCTTCCATGCCCCCTCCAAGGGTGCCACTCTCCCCGAATTTCCATGTGTTCACCAGCTGGGAAGCTCTCAACCCTGTCCTTTTGGGGTTTTATGGAGACTTCATCACATATGCATGATTCGTTAAATCACTGGCCATTGGGAACTGATTCAACTTGTCGCCCCTCCCCCCTCTCCCCAGAGGTGGGGCAGGGGAGGGCTGTGTGGGGATGTGGGGACTGAAAGTTCCAATCCTCTAATCACACAGTAAGTTGTCCTGGCAACCAGCCCCATCCTTAGGTGCTTCTAAAAGTCATTCATACAACACAAGACACCTTTACCACTCTCAACACTTGGGAAATTCCGGGGATTTTGGGAGCTGTGAGCCAGGAACTGTGGACGAAGGCCAAATATATATGAGAAACACATTTTGGTCATCTGAATGACCAAAATGTATATGAAATGTATATTTCTGCGAAATCATAATATCACAGCTGGCCGCTAATTTAACTTCATGTAAAATGCTTTTCAGGTTGAACAATGCATGTCTTTATGCTGGATTTGGCCTGCTAACCAATTTTTTGACCTCTTTACTAAACTATTTGACACAACAGAAAATAGTTCCCTGGTTACCCATAAAGGGGTCAGAAACTTTGTAAATTTGAACACATGTATGGAGTGCTAGTAATGTGTCAAGAGGAGAGTGGCAGAAGTAGGGTAATGGAGGAGAGAACTCGGGGGTACCCTCTTCCCCAGACTCAGACCCCAGGGATGGGGCAAAAGGCTACATCCCAGTTTGCCACTGTAGGGTTTATTTATGCTGTCCAAGGAAAATGAGGCTGAGAATGGTGAAGTCCCAAATACTGGGTCCTAATTTCACATCTTGTTATTCTGTTATTCTCACATAAGAAAGATTTACTGAAATGGGTCATAGACCTAAATGTAAGAACTAAAACTATAAAACTCTTAGAAGAACACAGGAGTAAATTTTGTGATCTTGGGTTAGGCGAAGCCTTCTTAGATACAACCCCCAAAGCAAGAGGGACATTAGACTAAAACTAGATAAACTGGACTTCATCAAAATTAAAAATTCTGATGCTTCAAAGGATGCCATCAAGAAAGTGAAAAGACACCCACAGGAGGACATATTTTCAAATCATATACTTTGTAAGAGACTTGCGTTTATAATATATAAAGAACTTTCTCTTAGAACTCAATAATAGAAAGACAACCCAATTTTAGAATGGGCAGAGGGGGACTTCCTTGGTGATCCAGTGGCTAAGATTCTGCATTTCCAATGCAGTGGGCGCGGGTTCAATCCCTGGTTGGGGAGCTAAGATCCCACATGCCTCGCTGCCAAAAAACCAAAACATAAAACAGAAGCAATATTGTAACAAAGTCAATAAAGACTTTAAAAATGGTCCACATGAAAAAAGTCTTTATAAAAATAGGCAAAGGATTTGAGTATACATTTTCCCAAAACAACATATACCATGACCAATAAAGACATGAATAGATGCTTAACATCATTAGTCATCAGGGAAGTGCAAATCAAAACTATAATGAAACGTCATTTCACACCCACTAGTATGGTTATAATCAAAAAGATAGAGTGTTGGCAAGCGTGTGGAGAAATTGGAGACTTCAGAAATTGCTGGTGAGGGTATAAAATGGTTGCTTGGGGAAACAGTTTGACAGTTTCTTGAAAGGTAAAGCATGGAGTTACTATGTGGTCCAGCAGTTCCACAGGTATATACCTAAGACGAATGAACTTTGAAAATGTGCTAAGTGAAAGAAGACAGTCACAAAAGACCACATCTTGTATAATTCCATTTATATGAAATGTCTGGAATAAGAAAATATAAAGAGACAGAAAGATTAGCCTAAAGCTGGGGATTGGGGAGAAATGGGGAGTGACTGCTAATTGGTCAGAGGTTCCTTCTTGGGGTGATGAAAATCTTCCAAAATTGACTGTGGTGATGGTTGCGCACGTCTGTGAATATACTAAAATGATTGAACTGTGCACTTTAAATGAGTAAATTTTGTGGTGTGGGAACTATGTTGCAATCAGGCTGTTTTAAAAAGCTTGTTGGCATAAAGCCACCATAATGTCCTTTTAATCACAGACATGTTTCATCTATTCCTTGATTTAGATAACACTAGACTGGGTGACACAGACCCTAGTCCAGAGTATCAACAGGGAGCAATTATCAGCTGAAAAAACCCAAACCTGAACAAATAGGATGTTAGTCAATGATATCTCATTTGCATCTGATTACTGCCTCTCAGAGTTGGATTATAATTAAAATTTTTTAATCTGACAAAATGACAAGCATTATATATGGTTGTATTTCCATATGGATTAACTTGAAGGAAGGACTGGTGTGGATGACGTCTGAATTCTAGAATAGAGCTGATCCTTGTCATTCGCAGTACTTATAACTGTAAGGTCACCGTGCACACCCAATTAGCAGAAATACAGGGTTGAGTTCCTGTGGGTCTCTGGTTGTACCATTTTCATCAACTGATCAGTACATAACCTTGCTTTATGTGTGTTTCTGTTCAAAGACACTGAATTTAATATCTCTTTCTTACAAATAATGATACGCAGTGTTTATAATGAAACAATTATTTCAATGACAGCATGTTTGTGTAATGTACAACACAGATTGTACTGCTTTAACCTCCCCCAGTCATACACACACACACACACTACACATATAGTACTCATGTACAGTAAATGCATACAGTACTGTAAACACATACTATACAGTGTGCAGTAATGCAAATAAAGTCCTGAAAAAATGAAAGATTAAGCGTTTAAAGTTTTATAAAAACGTTAACTAAAATCTTACTGTTGATAGAGCTGCAGGCTGCGTGATGGCACAGTGCATAGTGTGGTTAAACCTCTCGACCTTGGCTTGCCCCACAAAAAGCAAGGGAGAAGTTGGTGGAACTCATTCTGCAAAAGAGGAAGAGGGTGGCAGGTTGACATCCATCAGTTCAACCTCAGAGGTTTGGCTCTCACCACTTGTTGATGCAGTCGGCAATTTTCCCTCCCAAACTGGCTCCAAAAATTGGGTCAACCCTGTCTGCCTGGCTTTTTGCCTCAAATCTTTAAGCATCTCGGCATAGGGGGCAAATGCATAGGAGGTTAAGCGCTTAAATTTGAGGCTGCGATCAAGCATAGGGTCACACTCTTCCATGTCACTGAAAATTGTTTCCAAGGCAGAGTTCCATTCTGATATTTTGGCCGCTGTAAGAGGGACAATTCCTGGACACTCAGGCTGACTTTCATCACCATCTTCATCATCACTGACTCCAACGCCTTGTTCTGCCATCTCGTCCAAGTCTTTGTTGGTGGGTTCTACTGCCTTCTCTGCCAAAATTTCCTCCACATCTTCTTCTCTCATGTCATCAAAGCCTTCTCCACTTATTTGCCATGCGATATGCATTATGTTTTTGACACTGTTCTTTATACTTTCTGTAACACCTTCAAAGCCTTCAAAATTTTCTACGCAGTCCGGCCAAACATTTTTCCAACAATTATTGATAGTAGCCTGCTTGATGTTGTCCCACGCTGTGCCAACATAATCAATAACGTTGCGTATAGTGACTGACTTCCAATAGTCCATCATGGTAGTTTCCTTGTTGGCTTTGAGAGCCTCAAAAGCCTTGCTATAAAGCTCCCTAGTATAGTGCGCCTTGAAGGCTTTTATTATGCCCTGATCCAGGGGTTGGATGAGAGACGTAGTATTCGGGGGCATGAAAAGAACTTCTACGTTGGGGTGGGCATTTTTGAGTTCTTCACAGCAATGGACTGGGGCATTATCCAAAATTAACAAAATCTTGAAGGCAAGGTTTCTGCCCTGGAGATAGTATTCAACTTCTGGTATGAAGCAGCTGTGGAACCAATCAGAAGTCATCCATGCTTTTTTGTTCCACCTCCAATGGACCGGCATATGATTCACGCTTTTCCCTTTAAGTGCTTGTGAACTTGGAGCTCTGTACACCATTAGGGGTTTGCACTTAAAGTCGCCCTTGGCATTGGCACACAAAAGCAGGGTTGCATAATCCTGGAATGATTTAAAGCCAGGGGCTTTGGAGGCCATTTGCGTTATATAGGTTCTTTTGCCAACGTCTTTGTAAAATAGGCCAGTCTCATCAGCGTTGAAAACCTGCTCTTCCACGTACCCCCTTTCCTGTATAACACTTAGCAGGTATTTTTTAAATTCTTCCGCAGCCTCCTGATCTGCAGAACTTGCCTCACCTGCAAACTTAACATTACTCACACCATATCGCCTTTTGAAACGTGCAAGCCAGCCAGCGCTAGCCGAGAAGGGTTTCACGTTTTTCTGACCCTGGGTAACGTGACCGTAAATTTCTTTGGCTTTCAGCCTCACAACAATGCTGTCCACCACACCTTTTTTATCGGTTGTCATCTCATGAATCCACAAATTGAGCCGCTTTTCCATCTTTTCCATAGCTTCCTCACGCACTATAGATGTCACTTTAGCACTTTCCGGAGCAGCCTCACGTACAGATCGGCGAATTTCCTTTTCCTTTTTCTTGATGTACCGGATTGTTGACTCATTAACGTTGAACTCACGGCCAACAGCACTACAACTCATGCCTGAACGAAGCTTATCTAACACACGTATTTTCTCCATAAGGCACATCACAGCCTTCTTGCGCTTAGGAACACTAGGCAGCACCGCAGCACTGCGCTCAGGGGTCATTTTAAACAGCGAAATCACCGACAAAAAGCACAAAAAATGCAAAAAATGCGGCACTAAACAGATTGCGAAGAGGACACTTATTTAGAGTACGAGAGCCGAAGCAAGATAGCGGATCATCTGCCTCCAACGTCGGTACAAGCCACCACTGGTTGACTCAAAACTTTCACTCTCTGCGCATGTCCGCGAATAACCCCAGAAAGCACCGCGAATATTGATTTTTGGGGTGACAGTAAATTTTAACAAGTAAGCAAATACAAAACTACCAACCTGTGAATAACGAAGGTCACCTGTATTCCCGTGGACAAAACAAATTTCGTTTAAGCATATTTACTAAATCAAAGCGTCTGGTAGCACTGGAGACTACAAGTTCCAGCATGCACCGCTTCAGCACGGAGCCCGTGTTCCGCCAACCGCCACAGTAGCGTCAAGCCCGGGGCTTTGGCCCGGAAGTGTCGCATTTGGATCACGTAGCACTCTTTGCGCTTGTGCACACGCTGCGGGGGCCGACCCAGCTACTGCCGACCCTGCAGCAGTTCTATCTATGGTCTCTCCCTAGAGCTTTGCCGTTGCGGGTAACTGCTGCGGCTGTGTTCGCCCCGCGCGGCAGCGACATGGAAGAATTCGATTCCGAAGACTTCTCCACCTCGGAGGAGGACGAAGACTACGTGCCATCCGGTGAGCGATTCCACCTGAGGCGAGCGGCGGCGTGCCCCGCCCCGCGCCTCACGTGAGGCGCGCTTTGCCCGGCGTGCGTGGGCCCGGTGGCCCAGTGGCCGCGTGGCGCGGGTCTCAAGCGTCCCCGCCCCGCGCCCTCGCCCGCCTGCTCGCACCGTGCGGGCCCCTGGCCCAGGAAGTGTGCACGGGGACGTCTCGCGCAGCTGCTCCTCACGGCCTGCCTTCGGCCGCCGCCGCCTCTCCGGCACGTGAACTCCGCTCTGCCTCTGGTGAAGCCGGCGGTGGTCGGTCATCGCGTACCCTTACCAGCCCTGAAATCTTCTGAAAAGCAGTCTTATCGGCAGGCTTTCCGTCCCCAGAGAATTGCTAGCTAGCATCACGTTCCAGATAGGTCTCTTCACTTTCTCTTCTCAAAAGGGATCTGGTTGTTAAAAAGTTCACATAATGATGCCCTTTGCCTCTTTGCAACGTCTATACCCATTGCTCTCTGATCAGACCTTTGATTTTTTTGTTTTTGTATAGGCTTCTAAAACCGAACCGGGCCAAAGTAAATGTCACCCAAACCTACCCCTTCCGCCCTCCTGCACCTTCCGCAGGCTTCCCCATCTCTTTAGAAGTATCTGCCCGTACTGTAGCTCAGGTTAAAAACAAAACAAAACCTTGGGAGTTGTCTTTATTCTCACTGTTTTGGTCTAACCAATCACTAAGTTCTGTTTGCGTCTGCGTAGAAGGTTAATTTCTGATCAGTTCCTCACCAGTCTCGGTCTTACTGAACTACCATTAACACTAAGACTCGCCATAGCTTCCCAGTTGGTTTCCTGGGTTACATTTTTGTCCACCAGCATTGGTCTTCGGTATCGGCCAGTGTGATTATTTGAAAACTAGTTTTCATTTTAATCAGAGTTATGCATGCGCCTGTAGTCAAATATTTTTGAAAGGCTTATTTTTGAAACTGAACCGTTTCCATCACCCCTCATACCTGTCAATCCTCCCCAGGGGAGACTGCTTTTTTTTTTTTTAATTTATTTATTATTTATTTATTATTTATTTTTGGCGGTGTTTGGTCTTCGATTCTGTGCGAGGGCTTTCTCTAGTTGCGGCAAGCGGGGGCCACTCTTCATCGCGATGCGCGGGCCTCTCACTATCGCGGCCTGTCGTTGCGGAGCACAGGCTCCAGACGTGCAGGCTCAGTAGTTGTGGCTCACGGGCCTAGTTGCTCCGCGGCACGTGGGATCTTCCCAGACCAGGGCTCGAACCCGTGTCCCCTGCATTGGCAGGCAGATTCTTAACACACTGTGCCACCAGGGAAGCCCTGGTACAAATAATTTTATTTGTGTTTTTAAAAACTGTATCATAAAGCTGTCACAGTTTTTTATCGATTCATTGTGTTTTAGTCTAACAGTTATTCGTTTTAATGGTCAGGTCATCACTTTTGGCCACTAAAAGTTCTTTCAAGCTGGATCTTATATCCTTTTAATGTGACCCATTATTCTTAAATAACTACCTTGCTTTCTGGCACAGCAGAATGTCCCCATTTCATCTTGTGCTTTCCTTCCCTCAGAACTGAAATTAGCTGGCCTTTTCAGGGAACCATTTTTGTTTTGAGTCATATCAAAGAATACAATCTGAACTTTAAAGAAATGCTCATTGCTACTAGAGTGACATTGCTTCTATGCCATTTAAGTGAACAGAGCTAGAAAATATCTTAAAAAGAGTTAAGAGTTCTGAATTTTAAGTTCAGTTTTAACATTTGTTTTCACTTAATTTCTTAATTTCTTTGGTTTTATAATTGTGTGTCATTTCTTACTCTGAAGTTCTGCATTCCTAACAAGATTAGTATAACTACTTAACTTTCTTTTACCTATAATAAAAGGAATAGTTTCAAAATACCAACACCAATGTTACTACTAGGAATAGAACTTTTTTGGTCTTTAGAATGCATCTTGCTAAGGATGAACAGTCAAAATACTGTTTCTAAAGTTCTTGGAGGGGCTTCCCTGGTGGCGCAGTGGTTGAGAATCCGCCTGCCAATGCAGGGGACACGGGTTCGATCCCTGGTCTGGGAAGATCCCACATGCCACAGAGCAACTAAGCCCATGTGCCACAACTACTGAGCCTGTGCTCTAGAGCCTGTGAGCCACAACTACTGAGCCTGCAAGCTGCAACTACTGAAGCCCGCGTGGCTAGAGCCCGTGCTCTGCAACAAGAGAAGCCACCGTGATGAGAGGCCCGAGCACCTCAACGAAGCGTAGCCCCTGCTCACTGCAACTAGAGAAAACCTGCACGTAGCAACGAAGACCCAACACAGCCAAAAATGAATAAATAAAATAAATAAATTCATTAAAAATAAATAAATAAAGTCCTTGGAGTAAGTCCTTTCTTTGTCGCTTGTTTTATCAGTTTGGTTATGTTTGTTTATTTAAACTTTGCTCAATTTAAGGGATTTCCAGAATTCTGCGGAGCAATAAACACTGAGAACTCTTGCTTCTGCTGCCCCTGCTTACCCCACTGTCTTCTGCCTTGACCCTTACAGATAGCGATTTTCATTAGTTTTCTGTTTTTCCTTGTAATTTTGCCTTTTTATATTCTATTTGTATAAACAAATACAGTATAGCTGGGTACCCACCACTGTGGGTTTGTCTTTTAAAAGTCCTTTTGTTGTAGTGATTTTACTCAGGTTTCAGGAGGAAGCAAAGTTACATTTGTGTGTTCAGTCTCTTCATGAAACACTTTGACTTACCACTTGGTGTCTAAGATGCTAAATTTGCTTCCATTTTAGAACCCTTATATTTACTGTTCCGATGGCCTCAAATGCTTATTCTCCAGATTTTAGTAGGGCTGGCTCATTCTCATCATCTTTGTTCTCTTTTTTTCCCTAATCTCTGCTATCATATTTGTAGTTTTCAAAAGTTTTATAATTATTTTTTTCATTTTCTGAAAATTTTTTAGTCATCTTGTTTTGTGGATGTCTCTTTGAGGCTATAAATTATAAAGGTTTTTTTTTTTCTAATTTTGTTTCCTCTTAATTCCTTTCTGTTTGTTTTCAGTCTTGCCTTTGATATTGGAAGCTTTCCTCAATGTTTGGTGGTCCTAGTTCATTGTCAGTGAAATACTTAAAAACTAATTTGATGTGCAGGAATATTCAAAATAGCCCTGTTTGTAATGGCCCCAAACCAAATGTCCATCAACAGAGGAATGGATAAATAAATTGTGGAATAGTCATACAATGAAATAATATTAGGGATGAGAATGAATAAGCTACAGCTACCTGGAAGCAACTGGGTGACGTACAAATAGAATGTTGAGTAAAAGAAGCTGGACGCAAGAGTACATATTGTAGGCTTCTGTTTAAGGCTCAAAAACAGATGAAACTAATTTATGATGTTAGAATTCAGGATAGTGGTTACCTGTGGGATGTGGGTGGTGGCTATTGATTGGAACAGGGGCCTCCTGCAATGCTGGTCGTGTTCTGCTTCTTCAACTGGGTCTAATTATACAAGTGTGTTCACTTTGCGTAATTTTGTTGTCCTGTACGTTAGTTTGTGTGCTGTTTGGTATATTATACTTCAGATAAAAGCTATGTGAAGTAAAAAAGAAAAACACAACTGGTTGAATCTCTGTGTGTACAGGATTTATTGACCCATAGAATGTGGTCAGACTGGGCATCCAAGCAACACTTTTGTTGGGGACCCCAGAATGTCAGTGTCTGAAGATGGGAAGCAGATGTGTTTGGTTTTTTCTGCTATGTCTAACTTGAAGTCTTTAAGCCTCTTTCTAAACCTCTTTGATTGATAAGACAAGGTATCCTTTGCTTACTTTTGAAAGATACCCAAGATGAGGTGGAAACATGAGTTTCTTTTTTGAAAAGTACAGTAGTCAATTTGCAGTTTCTGTTCATTCTTCTAAAGACATGCGGATCCATGTCCTCATGGTGTGTGGAGCATAGCAGAAATTGCAAGCATTAAATATAAGTGGGGTGCGTTAAGGAGGGAAATATGGACTGCCCTGGAGGCCTAGAATAGGGGAACTTAGCCTAGTATTCAGGAATAGGGAAGACGTCCCTCAGGAAATGATATTTTAGTCTGGTGAAGAACAGAGGAAAGTACTACATTTTTTTCTTAATGAAAATGTCTCATCTTGATGTGAAAACGTTTATTCCTGTCTGTCTGACCACCCTGTTATGTGATTTCAGGTGGAGAGTATAGTGAAGATGATGTAAATGAATTAGTGAAGGAAGATGAAGTGGATGGTGAAGAGCAGACACAGAAAACCAAAGAGAGAAAAAGAAAGTCTCAGAGCATTCCGGCCAGGTGATGCTGCCCTCAAGGCCCTTAGAAGTCAGGGGCTATTGTCATAACCTTCCAGATTGCTGGGATTGGTCTGATGATAGATTTCTTACTGCCATGGTTTCTAACCTTTTTCTCATTGAGGGAAATATTTGGTGACATTTTAGGATTAAATTCTTATTCTCTGGCAAGCTTTAAAATTTTTTGAGCTTTAATTTTAAAAAGTTAATAGGTAATATGTGCACCTGGTTTAAAATGGAAAACCTGGGAATTCCCTGGCAGTCCAGGGGTTAGAACTCGGCCTTTCCAATGCCAGGGCCTGGGTTCAATCCCTGGTCGGGGAACTAAGATCCCACAAGCTGCGTGATTTGGCCAAAAGAAAAGAAAAAAGCAATTGCTACAAAAAATATGTACCCCATCTCTAGCCATTGTTGCTTTATCTCAGAAGAATTATGTTACCAGAGATAATTCTGTGTATGTACGATCATGTATATATGTATTTCCTACTTTTTCTTTTTTTGGCCATGCGGCTCGTGGGATCTTACTTCCCTGACCAGGGATCGAACCCATGCTCCCTGCAGTGGAAGCATGGGAAGTCCTAACAACTGGACTGCCAGGGAATTCCCTACTCTTTAAAAAAAAAAAAAAAAAGAATAGTAGCATACTCTGCATATCAATTCTCACTTTCCTTATTTCACATCTTGGAGATGATACCATGGCAGTATATTTAGCTATACCTTTTTCTTTTCAGCATAGTGTTACATTACTGGACAGACCTTACTTTATTTAAACATTCCTTTATTGAGAGACCTTTAGATTGTCCTCATCTTTACTACAGCAAATAAGACTGCAGTGAATATTCTTCTTATGTGTCTTTGTACACATGTACATTTGTAAATTAGATCTGTAGAAGTAGAATTGTTTGACCCAGTGTTATATGTAGTAAAAAAAAAAAAAAAAATTTATAGGTATAGACAAATTACCTTCTATAAGCCTGGTACTGAATTGCACTCCCACCAAAAATTATGAAAATTCTGACGTTATTTAACTCAAAAAGGGAGTCTTTCAATACAAGTCTTTTATTCTCTTTGATTGGTGTTTCTGTCTTCCTGGACATTGAAGCAAAAAGCAGATTGTAGAAAGAGAATTTTGAGAATTAGGTGATTCACTTGAAGTCAGAATAGTCTTAAGAAGCAGTTTACTCTTTTAAGTCTTGGACCCAGTTCTTTTATCCTTGGCTTTTGTATATTCCAGCTTTCATATCTTCAGAAGGTGGGAAGAAACATGGATTCCCCACTCCCCACCCCCTCAGAACTCTGGGAAGAAACAGTGCAAATAAATCTGAGGCTCTCTTCAATCTCTGTTCCCCACATGGAGTGACTTTTAAAAAGTCAAAAATACCAGGAATATGTTTGTTATTAGAACCCTCTTTCTGAACAGATTGATTCTGTGAGGTGATTTTGGGTATTTTCTTGGTGAAAACAGCTGGTCCTAACTTAGAAGTGGAACACTGTATTTTGATTCTCAATGCTTTGGGAAAATGCTAACTGTAAGAGCTCAGTTCTTTTTTTATTCCACAAAATCTCAGCTTACCTCTCCCACTTCCCCTATCAGGAGTGTTAACCATGGGGATTTAAAAGTTTTCTGATATTTGCAACATTATGTTTGGAATTCAGGAAGGGGTAACTGAAATTATTTTGCCTGTTTGTCTTGTCTTTCCTTTTCCTTGTGACTGTTGGTGATTAGGAAGAGAAAACAAGGTGGCCTCTCATTAGAAGAAGAGGACGAGGAGGATGCCAACGAGGAATCTGGAGGAAGTAGTAGTGAGGAGGAAGATGCAGCTGCAGAGCCAGAAAAAGGCATTGAGTCAGAGGATGCAAAGAAAAAGAAGGAAGATGAACTATGGGCCAGCTTCCTCAATGATGTAGGACCAAAACCAAAAGTGCCTCTGCGTACACAAGTTAAAGTAAGTTAATAGATGAATGGGAGGAATGCTTCACCAGAAATGCTGGAAGTTCCCCAGATAGATTTTTTTTAATTTACAAACTGAGATTTGAGGCTTACAACAGAAATCAGACTAGATGCCTTTTTTTTTTTTTTTTTTTTTCCTTGCGTTATGCGGGCCTCTCACTGTTGTGGCCTCTCCCATTTGCGGAGCACAGGCTCCGGACGCGCAGGCTCAGTGGCCATGGCTCACGGGCCCAGCCGCTCCGCGGCATGTGGGATCTTCCCGAAACTGGGCACGAACCCGCGTCTCCTGCATCGGCAGGCGGACTCTCAAGCACTGCGCCACCAGGGAAGCCCTGGATGCCTTTTAATAGTAACTCTACTAAGTGAAAAGCAAAGCATTCCCTATGGTAGGAAACACAAGCCTTTCTAATTAAATAAAATTTCAATAAGCATTTAACTGTTTAGAGATGAAATATTTAAGGATAGCTGGAAACAACATGTTTGGATGGATCTTTTAGTTTTTATCCTTATATGAAACTGATTACACTTCTTTTTTCATAGAGAGGAGAGGAGGCTGAAGAGACAAGTTCAAGTAAATTGTTGGTCAAAACAGAAGGGCTAGAGAAACCTAAAGAAACAGAAAAAGTTAAAATTACCAAGGTGTTTGATTTTGCTGGTGAAGAAGTCAGGTAAGATGACATTCACGAACTTCAAAACTAGTACTTTTATAAAGGATCATCTTTCTAAATGGTATTAGACATCTGTCCTCATTCCAACCCATCTTAATATTGTGGAAGATTTATATTTGAACTCAAGGAAAATAGTGGTTCCATTGATTATCAGGGAATATGAGAAAGGTCCTGTTACATATGGTAATGTAGTTGGGGGCATTATGAAGTGGTTGGCTGAACAGAAACAAGAAAATGTAAGAGTTAAGTATTTGGTTTCATTTACTCATGCCTTGCTTTGTGACTTTGGCTATTTCTCCCTTTATTACTTCCTTTAACTTTGATGTATAAGCCCCAGTGAAACCTTTGAAATCAGGTGAGAATTGAAAGTACCTGGAGAGAAATTTGATTCTGATATTATTTCCTCATCTTAATATTATTTTTTTAATTGATTCATAGGTTTGTTACTAGTTTAGAAAAACATTATAGGCTTAATACTCTTGGCCGTTCTAGATGAGAGCCACATGACCGGAATTTCTTTTTCCCCATTTACTTAAAATTTTAATATGAAAACAGCAGATCTGTAATTTAGAGCTGGACAAGAACAGATGAAGTGCCTGCCAATCAATTTTATAGATGGTCACATTTATTTTCCTTGACAGTAATTAATTAGACTTGTTTACTCTCTGTAAATATAATTTCCCCTAAAGTTGATACTCTTAAAAATAATTTCTGGTTTCTAACAATTATTTCATCTAGTGAAAATATATCTTAGAAAAAAGTTTGGCATTATTTGTTTGTTTTTAACAGTTATTTATTTATTTATTATTTTTTACATCTTTATTGGAGTATAATTGCTTTACAATGGTGTGTTAGTTTCTTCTTTATAACAAAGTGAATCAGTTATACATATACATATGTTCCTATATCTCTTCCCTCTTGCGTCTCCCTCCCTCCTACCCTCCCTATCCCACCCCTCCAGGCGGTCACAAAGCACCGAGCTGATCTCCCTGTGCTATTTATTTATTTATTTGGCTGCGCTGGGTTTTAGTTGCAGCACGCGGGATCTTCATTGCAGCGTGCGGGATCTTTGGTTGCAGTGTGTGGGAACTTTAGTTGCGGCATGTAGGATCTAGTTCCCTGTCCGGGGATCGAACCTGGGCCCCCTGCACTGGGAGCACGGAGTCTTAACTGCTGGATCACCAGGGAAGTCCCGGCATTATTAGTTTTATAAATGATGTGAAGCAAAACTTTTTATTATTATCATTTGTTGTTGGTGGTGGTGGTGGCTTTTTTTATTTTTATTTTTTTATTGGAGTAGAGTTGATTTACAGTGTTGTGTTACTTTCTGCTCTACAGCACAGTGAATCGGTTATAGATACACATATTTCCACTCTTAGTCTTTTAGTATTACTTTTTTTCTCCCCCAATTTTTTTTTTTTCTGGAAAATTTTACACTTATAAAAATGTTGTGGGCTTCCCTGGTGGCGCAGTGGTTGAGAGTCTGCCTGCCGATGCAGGGGACACAGATTCGTACCATGGTCTAGGAGGATCCTGCATGCCGCGGAGCGGCTCGGCCCGTGGGCCATGGCTGCTGGGCCTGCACGTCCGGAGCCTGTGCTCCGCAATGGGAGAGGCCACAGCAGTGAGAGCCCCACGTACCACAAAAAAAAAAAAAAATGTTGCAAGAATAGTATTACACTGAACACCCATATACCTTTCATACTGATTCACCACTTGTAAATGTTTTGCCCCTCTCTCCACCATCTGTTTCCGTATTTCTCTCTTTTTGTTTTGGCTGAACCATTTGAGAATTGTAGACATCATGACACTTCACTCTTTTTTTTTTTTTTTTTTTTGGGTTCGCGGGCCTCTCACTGCTGTGGCCCCTCCTGCTGCGGAGCACAGGCTCCAGACGTGCAGACCCAGCGGCCGTGGCCCATGGGCCCAGCCGCTCCGCGGCATGCAGTATCCTTCTGGACTGGGACACGAACCCGTGTCCACTGCTTCGGCAGGCGGACTCTCAACCACTGAGCCACCAGGGAAGCCCGACACTTCACTCTTAAGTACTTCATAACTGTTTCCTAAGAACAAGGATCTTCTCCTTTGTGACACGATATAACTCTCATATTTGGTAGATTACGCATTAATGCAGATTGTTATCTAAATTATCTGCAGTGAAGGACCCTGATTTTAAATTCTCAACCTGTTGCAGACCAATACTTTTGTAAAACACAATAAATAGGAATTATTAGAGAAGTAAATTAAGAAGAGATACAAAATACAAACACAAACTTAAAAAAAATTATTTATTTATTTAGGCTGTGGCGGCTCATGGGATATTTGTTGTGGCATGCTGGCTCTTAGTTGTGGCATGCGGACTTCTTAGTTGGCAGCATGCATGTGGGATCTAGTTCCCTGACCAGGGATCAAACCCAGGACCCCTGCATTGGGAGTTAGAAGTCTAACCCACTGGACTACCAGGGAAGTCCCCAAGCTCAAATTTTTAACAATAAGATTTAACAGACAGATGTAAAATTACATTTCAATAAATACAGTCAAAATGAGCACAAAATAAGAAAAGGAAAAGAATTACATAACTATCCTTTTTTTGCGGGGTGGGGGGCAGCAGCAGGCACACCCTGCGACTTGCAGGATCTTAGTTCCCCAACCAGGGATTGAACCTGAGCCCCGGCACTGAAAGTGCCGAGTCCTAACCACTGGACTGCCAGGGAATTCCCTATAACTATACATGTTGATCATTGAAAGTGTGAGTGTAAGTGATTAATAAAAGGAATCACCTTTTAATTCTATAATTGAAGCAAAAAACTAAAAGTATCAATTCCCAGTACTTAACATCTAGACACATACTTTGAATAAGTGCTGTTTGTATTAATTTTTAAAGTTTTTAATGGGTCAAAATAGCTTATATCTTTCTTGTTAATTAATCTAAGTGGGATTGGTGACAGCCCTACTCCTGGAGGATGATGTATATGTAAATTATTTCTGTGTTGGTGCTCTTCCTCTTCTTTTTAATTTTTTTAAAAATAATACTCATCATAAACCCATCTCAAAGGGCTGTATTTGTACCTCTTTTATTTATTTATTTATTTATTTAAATTTATTTATTTATTTATTTATTGGCTGCATTGAGTCTTAGTTGCTGTGTGTGGGCTTTCTCTAGTTGCGGCACGCGGGGGCTACTCTTCGTTGCAGCACGCGGACTTCTCATTGCGGTGGCTTCTCTTGTTGCGGAGCACGGGCTCTAGGCGTGCGGGCTTCAGTATTTGTGGCATGTGGTCTCAATAGTGGTGGCTCATGGACTCTAGAGCACAGGCTCAGTACTTGTGGCACATGGGCTTAGCTGCTCCGTGGCATGTGGCATTCTTAACCACTGTGCCACCAGGGAAGTCCTGTACCTCTTTTAAATTTATTTTTCTAATAAATTCTTTCTGTTGTGTTTTACAAAAGTATTGGTCTGCACCAGGTTGAAGTTTTATTTATTTTTTTTGTTTTATTTTTATTTTTATTTTTTTTTGCGGTACGTGGGCCTCTCACTGTCGTGGCCTCTCCCATTGCGGAGCACAGGCTCAGCCGCCATGGCTCACGGGCCCAGCCGCTCCACAGCATGTGGGATCTTCCTGGACCGGGGCATGAACCCGTGTCCCCTGCATCAGCAGGCGGACTCTCAACCACTGCACCACCAGGTCCTTCACTACAGATAATTTAGACAATGATCTGCAATAATGTGAAAGTAATGAGGATGGAAGTGTGGATTTTAAAGCAGTTTCATTAAGTTCAGGATTTTCATTTTTACTTTTTCCAAACGAAGCCAGTAATAACTACATTTTCTTTTTTTTTCCTTCCAGTTTTATTGAGAAATAATTGACATACAGCACTGTATAAGGTTAAGGTGTACAGCATAATGATTTGACCTAGGTACCTCATGAAATGATTAGTAGTAACTGTATTTTCAGAGTTCATCTTCAGTGCTTCATAAGTAGTCAGTTCCAGTAATTTATCCTGTCAAGTTATAATTAAATTTAAGTTATATTGGGCTTCCCTGGTGGTGCAGTGGTTGAGAGTCCTCCTGCCGATGCAGGGGACACAGGTTCGTGCCCTGGTCCGGGAGGATCCCACATGCCGTTCGTGCCTGGGTCCGGGAGGATCCCTCATGCCGTGGAGTGGCTGGGCCTGTGAGCCATGGCCGCTGAGCCTGCGCGTCCAGAGCCTGTGCTCCGCAACGGGAGGGGCCACAATAGTGAGAGGCCCACATACAAAAAAAAAAAAAAAAAAAATTAAGTTGTATTTCAATGGGAAAAAGGAATTCTGGATGCATGAATTTCCTATGTGTGGATTTTTTTAATGGAAAATATAATTCAGAACATTCTGTGAAACATGTTAACCTATAGGAGCTGTTCTTCAGGCTTTTAACTTTCATTTTTACTCTTAGAGTTTATTTGTTTCTGAAAAATAAGTTGAATTACTTCCTTGTGTGAAAGTACTAAGATTATTAAAAACACCAAACTGGGAAATCCCTGGCAGTCCAGTGGTTAGGACTCCACAGTTTCACTGCTGGGCCTGGGTTCAATTCCTGGTTGGGGAACTAAGGTCCCGCAAGCGGCTCAGCGTGGACAAAAAAATACCAAATAAAGCAGGCAAATAAGCATGTCTTACTGTCCAATTGAGGTCTTTAAAATTGGGGACCATATGGTTATTGTTTTTCTTTTAGAAGTACCAAGTTTATTCTGTAGTTCATCATTCTCAAGGCACTTCCTTCTTCATAACCATTGTACTTCAGCATGCATTATAACATATGCATGTTTATGATTAACTTTCAGTTTATCAAATTATGTAAATGCATTAGCTTTACATAATTCACAATTTTTACTCCTGTACTAAGAACGGTGGGTTTTTTTTTATGTAGTAAGAGTTTTCTCAATGAAGGAAGCAGTGTATTAATTTATGTTCTAGCACAGACTCCTTAATCTACACTGTTTCCCTGTCTTGCAGCTATGCCA